ATTTTTGTTATTATGCTAGGTGTATATAGTTATTGTGCTGGGTGGGTAGTGCCATCTTTTTTTTTTTTTTTTTTTTTTTTTTTTTTGGGTTTATAATTTTTTTTTTGGGGGGGGGTTGGCCCTTTTTTTTTTTTTTTTTTTTTTTCTAGGTGTTTATATTTTTTTTGCTGGGGGGGTAGTGCCCCCTTTTTTTTTTTTTTTTTTTTTTTCTAGGTGTTTATATTTTTTTTGCTGGGGGGGTAGTGCCCCCTTTTTTTTTTTTTTTTTTTTTTTCTTCTTTGGCAGCTGGCCAGTATGGGGATCGGAACCCTTGACCTTGGTGTTATCAGCACCACACTCTAACCAACTGAGCTAACTGGCCAGCCTCATATCTCTTTTGTGAAGGGTTTGTTCAAGTATTTTTGCTTTTTTTTTTTTATTATTGGGTTGTTCATCTTTTATTGATATGTAGGAATTTTTATATATTCTAGATACAAGTCCTCTGTCAGATATTTATTCTACGAATGTTTTCTCCTTTTGCCTTTTTACTTCTTTAATAGTGTCATTTGATGAATTATTCTCCTTTGTGAGTGAAATTCAGCTTTTAAAAAAGGGCTGGCCAATAACATAACTTAGGAGAGTGTGTGCTGATTACACCAAGGTCGAGGGTTTGGATCTCCCAGCCTCAGAACAAACAAAACAATGCCTTCTTTTTCTTAGTTATAAAGATAACATTTTCAGTGAAGAAAACTTGGAAAATAAAGAAAATAAACCTGACTATAATCCTACTACACTGAGATCACCATTGTTAACATCTTGGTTGTTTCCAGGCTGTCTTTTTTAATTTAGCAGTTATGTATTGAGCACCTGCTACATGCCAAGCTGTGGGTGCAGAATGGGACCCTGTTCTCATGTACTTTATAGTTCAGTGGGGCGACAGCCAGTAAATGTTTTGACAAATAACTCTAATGTCATTAAGTGTGAAGAAAAGAAAAGATGCTGGTGAGGGGAAGGCTTGATGGAGCAAGGGGGCTGGTTAGGGTGGTCACAAAGGCTCTCAGAGAAGGGGACATCTTAGTGGACCTTTTTTATTGTATGTACAATTTGGTGTCCTTTTTTCTCCTTAACCTTGTATTACAAGCATTTTCCCACATGAAATATGCTGTGAAGACATTATTTTTAAGAACTGTATAATTTTTCCTCACATGGATGTACATAGTTTATGTAACCAGTTTGCTATTGTGGAGCATTTTAAGAAGGTTCCAGTTTCTGTTTTGTGCTTTGTTCACAGCCCTCCCTAGTTCTTCTGGGCAGGTTCACAGAGATGGACTCAGGGGAGCTCAAAGCAGCCGTGGCTGTGGCCTTTCAAGGGTCCTCTGGCACCGTGTTGGCATCTTGGTGCTCGGCTCTGCCTTCTTGCCCCTGAAGCTCCCTGCCCCCCTCTCTCCAGGCCCTCACTCCCCTTTTCATCTCCAAGGGCTGTTGCCAGCCAGACAGAGGGGCTTAAACAGTTCACTGCAGTTGGGGCCCAAGGAGCTGGTGAGCTCAGGGCGGCACCTGATCTGTTCTTGGAGGCATCCCAAGCCTCTGTATGGGGAGCCGGTGGGGTGGGCTGTCCTGAGGCCTCCTCCTGCCCCCACCCTTCAAAAACTGCCTTCTGAATATCCACTGGCATGGGTGGCAGTGCCCTGCCCAGGCACACCTGGGTGTGATGATGACTTATTAGCTAGGCAGCTACTCAGGCTTCATCTTATCATACTTTATAGCAGAGGTAAGTCCCCTTGCCCCACCCTCAATCCCACAGTATGGGTGGGAGGCTGGCTCACCACTCCCAGCTCAGAAGAGATGGTGAGGTGTGTCTGACAGCCAGAGGCCTGCCAGAGCATTTCCACTTGTCCCTGCTCCAGGCTGAGCCTGGCATCTGCCCACGGCAGGATTAATTATCCTGTGGCTTCCAGAGGACACTATCTCCATTGGAAGTGGCAAAGGGCCCTTTCTCTTTAGGACTTTGTGTGAGTTACTCAACCTCCCACGGCCTCACTCCACTAAAATGGGGGAGATGATTGCACTTGGTTCTTGGAGTTCATCAGGTGCCCAGCATGTGCTCAGTGAGTGTCCACAGTTCCGGGTGCAGGATACAACAGTAAACCAGTGAGCAGGACCCTGCCCTAGAGTACCTGATGCCGAGGACAGACACGAGAACAGCAGGCAGTCCATAGGATGACCCAGCTGTGCTAAGGGCTCCACTGCAGGTGAGCGGGTGCTGAGGTCCAGATTGACAGGGAAGGCTCTGAGTGTGTCACAGAAAGGGACATCTTAGACAGAGTGCCTTGTCGCCCTCAGCCGCTATTTATCTTCCTCAGGACTGCAGGAAGGCCACTCAGCCCCCTTGCCTCCCTCAGACATGCCCAGCCTGTGAGCCGCAGACCAGATCACAGAACTGCAGGAATCTAGGGTGGGCAGGATCTCAGGAAGCCATCCTGTCCAGCCCCCCAGCCTCTGCACTTCTCTCAACCCTTCCCCCAGTCACTGCTCTAAAACACTTCCCGGATATACTTGTGGAGCACCTCTTATGCCAGGCTCCGAGAACATGGGGGGATAAGACAGCTGAGGACTTGACCTCAGGGAGCTTACTTCTAGCGGGTCTCTGTGGACAGTGAGCAAGAAAAGAGATTGATGAAGATGGTTTCTCAGAGTTCTAAGCATATGAAGACAGTGACACCAGGTGATAAGCGGTTGCCCTGGATGGGGTGGAGCGGCTAGTCAGGTACTCCAAGGAAGTCCTTGTTACCAGTGAGAGGGTGTCAGCGTGTGAAGATCTGGGGCCACGGTCCCAAGGGTGGATCAAGGTTGTGCTAGAAACAGGTAAAAGGAGCAGACAGAGGAGTTAGGATTTTCTTCCAAATGCAGTGGGAAGTCCCGGAGGCTGAATGGATGAAACCTTTAAAAATGTGTCCCTAAAGCAGGATTCAACCTGACCCAGGTGCTGCTTGGGAAGGGGCAGCAGAGCCAAACCTTGGCCCACTCCTGCTCTTGGAGGAGGAGGGGTGTCCCTGGCAGGGGCATCATGAGCAACTGTCCCCTCTTGCTGGGGAAGATGGCTTAGTTGGGTTTCAGGCTGGGGGTAAGGCCCCTTCTCTTTGCTGGTTTCCAGAGAAGCAGGGGAAGTGGGCTGGGCTGTAACTCTCATTCCTGATTGGTTGCTCAGGACTTGTCAGGCATGTCATGTAAATGAGCTGAGAAGTGGCTTCTTCCGATTGAGCCGGAACCTAAAGTTGGGGGAACTGAGATGGCAGGAAGCTGAGTCAGGACGCGCAGGAAGTCCTCTCCCTGCATTGAGTAGCCAGTGCTAAGCAGAGTGACCTCTAAGACAAAGCAGCATCTGTCCCCAAGGCCAAAAAGTCATCAAGTTGAGGAGGCCTAACTGGAGACAGTAAGGGGTGGGGGTCTGGCCACACTGGCTGAGTACGTGGGTTCTTTAATCCAGAACCACTGGTCTCCACTCTGGCCTTTTCTGTTTTCTCCGAGAATCCTAGTAACAGTGGCAGGAAAATGACATTAAAATGCTCTAACCTCTTAATAATTATGCTACATCCATAAAATGAATGCATGCCCTTAGTCTGCAATCATGAAAGTAGATTTATTGGTATGGAAAGATGCTCACAATACATTGTTAAATGTAAAAAAATCTAGCTTAGGGCTGGCCCGGTGGCGCACTGCCTCAGTGCGCAGCTTGGGAGCGCAGTGGCGCTCCCGCCGAGGGTTCGGATCCCACATACAGACCGGTTCCCGCTCACTGGCTGAGCGAGGTGTGGGCGCAGCACCGAGGGTTGTGATCCCGTTGCTGGTCCCGGTTCGGTACGGGCGCGACACTGAGGGTTGCGATCCGTTGCCGGACACGAAAAAAGACAAAAAGGGAAAAAAAAAAAATCTAGCTTACAAAACAGCAAAGGAGAGTATCCTTTTTCATTAAATATTTATATGTATTCATATTAAAAAATTGTGGGATGAAAAATAAATGTTAAATGGATGGTAGGATTAAGATGGTTTATATTTTACCTTCTTTCTAATATTTTTAACAGTTTCATTGAAGTGTGATTGACATATAATAAATTGTACATATTTAAAGGCTACAATTTGATTTTTTTTTTTTTTTTTTTTTTGTCTTTTTCCGTGTCCGGCAACAGGATTGCAACCCTCGGTGTTGCTCCCGCGCCTTGCTCAGCCAGTGAGCAGGAACCGGTCTGTATGTGGTATCCGACGCCTCGGACGGGAGCGCCGCTGTGCTTCCCAAGCGGCGCACTATCCAGTGCGCCACCGGGCCGGCCCTACAATTTGATATTTTGACATGTATTTTTTTTATTTTTATTTTTGGTGGCTGGCCGGTACGGGGACCCAAACCCTTGACTTTGATGTTACAATACCACACTCTAACCAACTGAGCTAAGTGGCCAGCCCTGTTTTGACATGTGTATACCAATCACCTTACCTGTATATATATTTTTTAATTTATTTATTTTTGGTGGCTCCCTGGTACAGGGATCTGAAACCTTGACCTTGGTGTTGTCAGCACCAAGCTCTAACCAGCCAGCCCTATATTTTTGAATGTGTCTAAAATGATGATATATTGTGGGTTTTGTTGTGGTTTTTACTTTTATTTTCAGTTATTTACTTATTTTTGGTGGCTGGCTGGTAAGGGTAGTGTTATCTATCTAGCTAATAGACCAGCCCATGGGTTTTACTTTTAAAAAAGGAAAGTATATCAGCCATTGAACTGGCTGACCAAGAAGGAAAGGGACTTGTGCCTACTTCTGGAAGGCTAGGCTGTGGCAGGCAGAAGCAGACGGGCAGGACTTTCTGAAACCTTGAGAGAGAGGGCTGGAGACCAGAATGGACTTTGGAACCCTTGTCCCTGGGCCAACTCTCACAGACCTGGACCCTTCCCCAGGACCTGCTGGGTGGAGGAAGATGGGAAAAAGCCCAGGGCTGGAGCACCTAGACTCATCCTTGCTCTTCCCCAGGAGGCCTCTGCAACCTGTGCCCAGACAGGGCCAACAAGGAGTACATCCTGCAGGCAGGAGGCATCCCACTCGTCATCAACTGCCTGTCCAGTCCCAACGAGGAAACGGTGTTGTCTGCTGTCACCACGCTCATGTACCTGAGCTCGCCAGGCCCTGCCCCCCACCCTGAGCTGACCACCATGGCCGTTGTCCAGTGCATGTTGCGCTTCTCTCTCTCAGCCAACACGAGGCTCCGGAACCTGGCCCACATCTTCCTGGAGGACTTCTGTTCCCCAAGCCAGGTGGCCGAGGCCCGCAGCTGGCAGGCTCACTCTGCCCTGGGTATCCCACTGCCAAGAACCGAAGCCCCACAGCAGCCCTGGTCCAAGGAAGTCCCAAGACCGTAGCACCCCTACTGCTGAAGACTGTAGCCCTGGTGGCAGCGGAGGAAGCAGGGGGAGCACAACTCGGCACTTTCTGCCAAAGTGGTGCTTTTCCAGCCATTTTAAAGGTGAATTTTTTCAGCACAACAGGTGTTTACACGGTGATGAAAAGGCATTTAGGAGTGAGGAAGCCAGACTTTGAGACACATGGAGAAGGAAATCAAAGCTGGTGCCATTTTTGTAGGCTGGCACTGTCAACAAACTGGTGGCAAAGGTCCTTCCTCCAGCAGCACCCCACTGCCAGGCTCACACCCTCATCTGAGAACCAGCCAGTTCCCTGGATCCAGAGGCTTTGCACAGGGGCGTTCTCATGGAGAGCCGCTGGGACTGAGACTTAGTAGAGTTGTCTACCCTCGAGGAAGTAGGGGATGTCCCTTAACACAGGTGTCTGGAGTAACTTTGAAGGATAGAAACGAGAAGCCTGGTGGTTAAAAGGATCTCAGGCCCTGGGAAGCTGGGAAGGTGTCATGCCCCCTCCAGGCTGTGGAGGACAGATACCTCCTGTCAGCCTCTCCAGGCTGGGCATTTGTACATGGTGGACACTAACCTGGAGGAACTGTCCATCCAGCCCTACTACCTGCTAGGCACCATGTGAGGGATTCAAAGATGAAGATGTCGCTGCCCTCGCGTGACGCAGCCCAACGACAATATGGCCATCAGACATTAAGACCAAGGCCATGTGCGCTGTGGCATCAGAATAAACACAGAAGCCCTTGTAGCTGCGTCTTCTCCCCTCAGCACCCCAGGGCCCCTGACTGGAAGCCTTGGCCCTCCTCTGCTGTCACCGATAGTGGGGGAGTTTCTGCCCCTAGAAGTGGACCTCAGACTCACAGTGGGATGGGGATGTGAGTGAAAGAGTGACTGATGTTCAAGAGGACAGGAATGGAGAGCAACATAACGTGTGTGTTTCAGTGTCCACAGAGCGTGTGTGTGTGCACTGCGCTAGCCAGTGGAGGAAGGAACATGGACACGGTGCAAAGTTGGGGTTCAGGAAAAATGGCAGGAGCGTCCTGGCCTCCCTTCTGCACTCCCTTAACGTTGACTCCTTAGATGGCCAAGGAAAAGCAAGTGCTAGAGGAATGGTGTCCAAGCGGGCATGGAAGTGGGACAGACTCTGGGGGCACTGCACTAAGGAGAGAGAAGGGAAGGAAGGGCTCCTCGTCAGCCCCTGTTCCAGCCACCCCCACTCAGGGCTCCTGTCCCTTTACTTTTCCAAATAAATAAAGAGTATTAAAAGACCAGAGAGCCAAAGGTTTTTATTAAAAGGGTCCTGACTGATTGTCCCACCATACTTCCATGCCAGCCATGCCCCAGGTACAGCCATCTCAGGAGGTGCCAGACGGCTGGGCCTGTGCCAGCACAGAGGTCATGGTGTCGTCCTGCTCCAGGGGGCTACGGGTCTCTCGGCTCTGCAGGGATTCCCTCCTGGCCTACGATCCCTTCCTTCAGCTTCAGCTACTGCCCACTGCAGGTCCCGTTTATTCCTGCCGTGCAGCTGCCCGCTTGCTGTCTATGATCTCCCTCCAGTTGTCACTCCACGAGAGCAGCCGTCTTCTTGTGGGGGGCAGGTCCAGGTGCTGATTGTGGCAGCAGGTGAATAAGATGTGCTCCCAGCTTGGGGTCTCCTCTTGCCCTAGGACAGGAAAGGCAGGGAGCATGTAATCTGTAATCTGATTATTTTTATTCCCTCTCCCTAATCCAGGCAGGCCAGATGCCTGGAGGCTGCCAAGGATAATGGATCTGACCTTTAATGGTGTCCTTGTCATCAATGAGCAGGTCCCCCGTGACCACCGTCTTGTCCCTTGTCAGGATAATGCGCTCCACAAACTGGGGCCCCAGGTGCCGCTCCACCCAGCGGTACTGTGTGGGAGACACGGGGCAGGGTGAGTGGGTGCGAGTGAGGTCCAGACCCTCGGGAGCCGCTGGGCCCTCTCCCCCACCCCCCACCCTCAGTGTGTCTGCGTGCTTTATTTTTTATGTTTTAGAATCCGGATTTAGAAAGCTGCGTCTGCTCGGGGGCGCTCGGGCCGCCGTACCTTCTCGCCCACACAGTGGTCATACTTGAGCAGAGGGCTGGTGCAGATGAACACCTCGGTGCTGCGGCAGAGGGGGCGCCCGTTAGAGCCGGCGGGACCCCCGCTCTGCCGCCCCTCCGTCCCCCCTTCTCCACCTGCTTACTCCGGCATGTCGTTCATCTCCCGCAGGGCTTCCAGGGCGCCCGGGATGGGCTCCAAGTCTAGGAAGAAGCCTGGGGCTTCATACACGCTGGCCACCTTATCCTGCAAGACACAGAGTCCGGTCCAGCAGACCGGGCCCCACTGGGGACTCTCGCAGGGTCCCCGGGGGGTTCCAGTCCCCAGGTCAGAGCTGCAGCCGGAGGACTGGGGTGGGGGCGCTGCCCAGACTTTCTCGTCCCTGGGTGAACAACTTCACACACTGAGGGGGTGCCTCCGGGAACGGAGCTGAGACCGTCCCGCCAGGATGGGGGGACCGCCCGCCCCTGGGGTGGCCGTGGGCGCGGGGCTCCCCAGCGGGCGGCCCCGCGCTGCGCCCCCGCCGCGCTCCCTACCGCCAGGTCCGGCCGCAGGGCCCGGTACTGCTCGCGGGCGAAGAAGCCGCGGCGCTGCTCGGGGCCGCGGGCGGGGGCTGGGGGTGGGGCCCGCCGGCCCTAGCGCCCCGCGGAGGTGCGCGAAGCCTGCCCGGGGTCCTCAGCTTCCTCGGGGCCCCAACTGCGCCCCCATCAGCGGCCCCCCCGCGTTGCAGCAGACGCGCCCCGCTCACCCCACATCGTGCCGGGGGCGGGCCTTCCAGGGGCCCCACAAAGGACCTGCGACACACGGAAGCACCTTCCAGGGGGAGTCAAGGCCCCGCCATCCTGCGGGGCGGCTGCACCGCTCTCGGAATCCGTATCCCCAACTCCTGGGGCCACCGGCGCTTCCACCCTCCCGGCTTGGTGAGGCTGGAGGGTACAGGAACACGCAGAGAGCCTAAACCAGGGTTCTAGCTGCTTGACGGTGGCACCAACCCAAGACCCCAATCATTGGGGGCCACCAGTTAGTGTTCGGTGAAATGAATGAATTTGTTGAAGATAACTGGTGAGTCATGTTCCTAAGAGACTTAAATCATAAACCAGAGTTGGCTTGAAATAGCATCTATTTCAAACCTCCAGTTCCGCTTGGAAAGACGATTTTGATCAAGCTCAGGTAATCTGGACTGTCCTTTCTGCGAAACTGACGTCTCTTATCTACAACTGGCACTTTCTACACCCTCTAGAAAATGCTTAACATTGTTAAATTTCATTGACTCCCCTTTTTGTAGATTTCACCAAATTTCCTAACTACACCGAAATCTATTCACCTACATAGTATAAACGCAGATTTAGGTAAGTGACCCATCTTACTGTTACCCATCTGACGACCCCACTACTTCCAAACCAATGTAACAGAAGCATCCAAGGAAAAGCCTGGCATCTCAAGCTAAAATGAGCTCATTTCAAAATGCATAAGTAGAATTGGCATAAGCCATCAACACTGTTTTTTCCCTCCTTCACTAAGGCACTGACGTCACACAAACTGGGTAAAAGTTCCAACTGTAGATGAATCTTGTTTTACCATGGAGTCTTCAGGACCAGCTCTAACCAACTGAGATAACTGGCCAGCCCTAGGGTTACTTTTAATAGTCTTCATCATCATTTTAAGATCATTCAGCTTCTTTCTAGACCCTACATTTTCTTTTTTTTTTTTTTTTTCCTTTTTGTCTTTTTTACTGCTGGGTAACGGGATCGCACCCCTCGGTGCTGCCCCGCACAGCGCTCAGCCAGTGAGCCGGTCTCCACGTGGGATCCGAACCCTCGGCAGGAGCGCCGCGGCACTCCCAAGCGGCGCACTCTCCAGTGCGCCACCGGGCCGGCCCTAGACCCTACATTTTCTTTTTTTTTTTTTTTTTCCTTTTTGTCTTTTTTACTGATGGGTAACGGGATCGCAACCCTCGGTGCTGCCCCGCACAGCGCTCAGCCAGTGAGCCGGTCTCCACGTGGGATCCGAACCCTCGGCAGGAGCGCCGCGGCACTCCCAAGCGGCGCACTCTCCAGTGCGCCACCGGGCCGGCCCTAGACCCTACATTTTCTAACTGTGGAAAATTGAACACCTTTCAGCAAACATGCTTACATAGAATTTCCTAAAATCTGTTCTGACAGTACCAAAATGACTAGCTGAGCATCTTTAACTTTGATTAGGCACTTATTGACATAGAATATAAAAAGCCAAATTACAAGTTGTGACACAAGCCAGGGACATTTCTTTTCCAGGAGCCCCACGCCTACTAAGAGGCTGAGAAGGATGTGGGCTCCCTACCTTGGAAGATTCATAGTGGAAACCTTAATTCAGGCCAGTAAAACTCGTGTTAGTATTTATAGGGCTAAACTGTTTCAGTAACATTGAAAGGATCCTGCACACAGCTATTGATTCTCCATCTTGCAAATGCTTTATAAAGGGAAGAAAAACTTAAAAACCCACAACCTATTAATTCCCAATTCTTTCCAGATACATACATTTAATAGCTCAAAGGTCTCACTTTGTAAGTTAGGAAATTGAAACCCAAATAAGTCAAAAGAACACAGTGGTCAGTGGCATAGGTAGACCTAAAAGCCAGGTCTTAATGCTGGATTTGGACATTTAACATAGCGTGTTGATCTGGAACTCTGCCTAGAACCCATAAGCTTTCTCTTATCTTCTGGCTCCCATAGCACTTGAGGGGACTCAGAGTCCTGCAACCCTTTCTAATTCTGTGGACCCTTCCTTTCATTGTAGCCTTCCTCTTTGACCACCCACCATTGAGAAGGACCTAACAGGTGTGGAGAAGACTTAAAATTTTAAATGTTACTGCCCAGCAGAAAGGGTAGGTGGCAGAAAAGTATAACCTGTTTTCTTCTCTCTGGGCCTTCATTAGTCTGTTTTAACTTTAAATGACACATCAAATTATTGGGCAGGATTTACGGTAACAAAGAAAAAAAGCAACTAAACAGTGAACACTGAAAAAAAATCTCAAAAAGATGACACAGGACACAATGTTTCAAAATGTGGATATTATTTACTTTGAGCAACAGTCCAGGATTGTGAAGGACAACACACATTTTAAGGATGAGATTTTCGTTTCATGGTCAAGCACCAGCATCATGCACACAGCATCAAGTTATTTAATGAGAACAATGTCCCTGTGGGGTCCGTTCCTGGATAAAGACCCACTTCCGTGTGACCACCTCCCTTGCCTGCTTCACCACCTGGAGTTGCAGTCAGTTGGATTGCACATTCCAGCCTTCCTCTGCATGAGCAGCAGGCTTTGCTCAGCAGCAGCCCACCACGTCAGTATCTGGCTTACTTCATAAGGTTAAAAAATAAAAGGCAGTTTCTTTGCTTTGCAGGCAGCAGGCATGAGGCGCGGGCCTCTTTATTGTTCCGTATGGCACAGTAAGATGCTTTAGCAAAGGGACTAAGTGACAACAACACCAAGGAGAAGGTTCTGCATAAAGACAACCTTGCGTGTCGGGGCCTGACAGGAACGGTGCCTGTGGATTGTTTATGGTCTGTCCAAGCAAGGCTTGGTAAACCCAAGTAAAGAGTGTTAAAAACCTCAGTACAAAAGATCCTCTAATAACACGTTTGGAACCAAATTATTTGTTCTTAAAAACACAGTACTGTCACAAAGCTTTCCCTCCAATCTACTACTAGAAAACACTCATGCCAGGGCCCGTGAGGAGTCAGGACACATAAAGAGAAACCTGTTCTTCAAAAAGAGGAAAAAAAAAAAAAAAAGACAGCAGTACATAAAGTGCTTCTTTTTTAATGAAACAAATCCAAAAGATGTACAGTCAGGCTCAAGTTGTGCAGTTCACAAGCATGGAGAAAAACAAACAAACAAAACAACAGAGTTCAGGACAGTCGGAGTTAACCCAAGACGAGGCTGGACTTGCCCCCAGGAGGGTTTCTTCTGGACGGCACTGGGGCCGGGGCCACTGGGCTGGGCACGGGTGCGGCGGGCACGGGCTTCTCCTCACCCTGTCCCAGGCTGCCTTGCAAGTCTGTGTCCACATTTTCTAGAAAAACAGAGAATGGAAATAATGCTAATAACTATTTCCTGTTAAGATTAAGAGTCTAAGTTTTTTCTTTTTTCAGTTTGAGGATGGTTTGAAACATACCTAAAGTATGAAGAAAACAATAGTCACCCACCATGTCCCCACTATCCAGAATTAACCTCTGTTTATGTTTTGTAATATTTCTTCTGTGTATGTTCTTTTCTGAATTACACAAATGTGTGATGATATGAAGATTTTAAATCAGAACACTAACAGGGAAACTATGTTTCTGACCCCACCTACCTCCATATGGGTCCTGCTCTCCCTATTCCCAGGGGCCCTACCATGAGTTGTGTGCTTTCTTCTAGTCCATTTCTGTTTTGTGTATATATATATATAGGTAGCCACAGATAACACGTAATACTGTTTTGGTTGCATTTAACATAAATGGTATCAACATTCTTTTTTTCACTCTTTTGGGAAGTTATCCATACTTACACACATGGTCATAATTCACCATGCTTAGCTGCTTTATAGTATTTTATCACATGATATAGTATAGTATTGGTCCAGTCCTCTGATAGCAAAAAATTGGAACCAACCCAGCCATTCCAAACAAGGCTGTAATGCACATACGCTGGCATGTATGCACAAGGGGACACACACAAGGGCCACCATCTTCAATTTGAACAGACATAACTCTCCACCCTCCCAGTGGCTGTGCCAAGTTCTACTGCATAATAGCGTCTGAATATGAGTGTATTTCAAAAACTTCATGGAAAAATGGAATTAAAGGGCCACCCTGGTGGCGCACTGCTACAGTGCGCCGTTTGGGAGCGCAGCGGCGCTCCCGCCTGAGGGTTCGGATCCCACATACAGACTGGTTCCCGCTCACTGGCTGAGCGAGGTGCGGGTGCAACACTGAGGGTTGCAATCCCATTGCCGGTCCCAGTCTGGTACAGGCGCGACACTGAGCGTTGCAATCCGTTGCCGGACACGAAAAAAAGGAAAAAAAAAATGGAATTAAAGATAACACGAATCCTTCCATGAACTTTGTGAAGACCCTCGTATCCTTTCCTTACATCTTTGCCAGCACTTGGTAACACTTACTTTAACATCTGCAAACCAAAGGGTGATGGATGTTATTTCATTCCTGTTTTATCCATGATAACCATATGAGGTTGGATTTTCTTTTTTTAACCACAAAGATAGCCAACTGTCCTGACGTTTTGAAAGAGTCCAGCTTCCCCCTACCAAATTATAAGAACTTCTCCACTAATAAGGTAATTCCCATTGTGTGTGTGTGTGTGTGTGTGTGTGTGTGTACACTTCCCACTCTAAAGTCCTGAGAGTTAGTGTATTATTATGCAACATCCTAGATATTGCTCGATTGAGTCACTGACAAATTTGGGAAATTCCCAAAAAGCATATATTCTTAAACAAATTGTCTCTTAGTAGCAAGTAGTTTCCAAGCCTAGAAAAGCCACTGATCCAAACAAATTCAAGAGTGACTGCAAAAAAAAAAAAAAAAACATCAAAACCCAAAACAATTTTCTGTGAAAGGAAATTGTTACTAAGACTTTAATAGTTTAATAAATGTTAGACTTGGGGCCGGCCCGTGGCTCACTCGGGAGAGTGTGGTGTTGATAACACCAAGGCCCCGGGTTCGGATCCCACATAGGGATGGCCGGTTCGCTCACTGGCTGAGCGTGGTGCTGACAACACCAAGTCAAGGGTTAAGATCCCCTTACCGGTCATCTTTTTAAAAATAAATAAATAAATAAATAAATGTTAGACTTATTTTTAATTAATTAATTAATTCATTTATTTTTGTCTTTTTCGTGACCGGTAAGGGGATCGCAACCCTTGGTGTAGAGTCGTCCGCACCGTGCTCAGCCAGTGAGCTCACCGGCCATCCCTATATAGGATCCGAACCTGCGGCGGGAGCGTCGCTGCACTCCCAGCCCCGCATTCTCCCGAGTGCGCCACGGGGTCGGCCCTATTTTTAATTTTTTTAATGGCAGGTTTATTTCAGTGTTAAACCACTGAATTAAATTCAGTTGCATATTCGAAGTTTACAGATATCTGTAAAAGATAATCCATAGAAGCCCTTTTTTGATGGATTTGCCTGAAAGAGTAGAACATAAAAACTGTCCTGTATCACTACAGGCATTATGGTCAGACAGAAACAGGTTAATGCATGGAACTGCACCATAACTGGCCAAGTATACTAGAGATTTATGTTGAAATTATAATAAAATTCAAAGTCAGCACTTCTATCCAACAAAGCTTGCAGTGATGGAAATGTTTGGTACCTGTGCTGTCCAACCTGGCAGCCACTAGCCCTACATGGCTTTTGAACATTTGAAATGTGGCTAATACAACTGAATTACATTTACTTATTCATTCATTCATTCATTCATTTTTGATGGCTGGCCAGGGCAGGGATGAATTACTTTTATTATTTATTTACTTATTCACTTTTGGTGGCTGGCCAGTAAGGGGATCTGAACCCTTGGCCTTGGTGTTACCAGCACCATGCTCTAACCAAGTGAGCTAACAGGCCAGACTCTGAATTACTTTTATTTAGTCCCAGATAATTTAAAGTTGTTTTTTTTTAAATATGACCAGTAAGGGGATCTTAACCCTTGACTTGGTGTTGTCAGCACCACACTCTCCCAAGTGAGCCAACCGGCCATCCCTATATGGGGATCTGAACCCGTGGCCGTGGTGTTATAAGCACCAAACTCTCCCAAGTGAACCACAGGCCGGCCCTTAATTTAAAGTTTAGGTTTAAATATCCACATGCAGCTTATGGCTACCAAAATGAACAACACAGTCTTAAAAGAATGGGGGCTGGCGGGTTAGCTCAGTAGATGTTGACCCAACACCAAGGTCAAGGGTTCAGATCCCCATACAGGCCAGCTGCAAAAAAAAAAACCAAGAAACTGAACATTAATTCGTAAGACCTGAGAAAAACTATCTTCAGGTTTAAAGACATTTATTCCCTTTATTCCCTTCCTTAGTTCCAAAATCCTGGATCAATGAAACAGAAATACTGACTACGATATACACTATATACTATAAGAACTTCAGATGGACTCATACCGGACACCAATGAAAAGTCCTAATTTCAAAAAAATTTAGTTTTTTCAAGTTCCTCAAAGACTAAATATTAAAAATTCATCTTCCTAAAATCACTCGTCCTAAGTTTTGATTTAGCCAACTGAAACCAAAAAGTCCAAGGGGGGAAGATGTCTGTAAATTAAAAAATTATACTTGGGTCAGAAACACAACAAAATCTCAGAAATATGCTACTGCTGCTTTTAGCATTTCGTTTTATGAATTTTCGGAATATTGTATATTAGTAAGTTATAATATAATGCATATAATGCATAAACTACTCAACTAACAAGCAAAATTTGAGTGTGAAGCTTGCTAAAATGACAGCTCTCACAATGATGAACTGAAACTCAGAGAAAAAGGGTCACCCATTAGTTTCCTATGGCTACGCTGTTATAAAAGAAACAGGTTCAAATGCATTAAGTTCTCAAGTCCTACGATAAGTGTCCCTTAAATAACCTAGGAAAATAAGTCCAACTTATTGCAAATACAAAACAAAAACAAAATTCCACATTAGAAAAAAAAAAAAAACCCAGGGTAAAGACAATACAGACAAGTTCAGCCTGAGACAATTTATCAATCCAGGTTGTTTCATCTCTGCTGGTGGGGCAGGGCCTCACGCTATCCAAGCCTAACTGAATGCTTCACTGGCTGTTTGGATGGATCCAACAGTTAATGAATATTCTGAAGGACACAAAATTACCTTGCAGCTCGACCGTGGTAGTTTATTCTCATGAATTAAGCTCATTGCTGCCAATCTTGTATCTGTCGTACACTGTTAACGGAACTGTTTTGTGTTTCCCAAATAGATAACAACATACCAAAAAAGAAAAGCAGGGGAAGGGTGGCGAGGGGATAAGCACTCATGAAGACTAAATAAGCAGCAGCAGGCCTTAATTTAAATGTCTGTCCAGTCAGGGGCCGGCCCGGGCTCACTTGGGAGAGCGTGGTGCTGACGACACCAAGGCCAAGGGTTAAGATCCCCTTACCGGTCCTCTTTAAAAAATAATGAATGAATGAATGAACGAACGAATGAACAAGGACACCTACATCTGAATAGAAAAACGATTCATAATAAGGATCAAAGAATCAGAACTGAAAGAAATGCAGCAGACCATCTAACTTGCCTGAAGACAGGGAAAACTTATGCCTAAACTTCCTAGACCTTCTCCCTCTTTCTTACAGATTTCCCAGGATGACAACTCCAAAGTCCTCCCTGTAGCCATTCCTTTCTTTCTTTTTTTTTTTCCTTTTTGTCTTTTTTACGACCGGTAACGGGATCGCAACCCTCGGTGTTGCGCCCGCACCGCGCTCAGCCAGTGAGCAGGAACCGGTCTCCACATGGGATCCGAACCCTCAGCGCAACCCTCGGTGTTGCGCCCGCACCGCGCTCAGCCAGTGAGCAGGAACCGGTCTCCACATGGGATCTGAACCCTCGGCAGGAGCGCCACCGCGCTCCCAAGCGCTGCACTCTACCCAGTGCGCCACCAGGCCGGCCCAGCCATTCCTTTCATTACCCAAAAATTCAAGGCAATTTCTCTTATATCCAAACAAAATCTTATTTAAACTGATCAGAGTATCCTGCGGTAAAGTAAACCTTGCAACAGAACTGGGGTTGACCTTTAACCCAACAGATATATCTTGAATCATTATGTCCCTTGTCATTTTATGACAAATGAACTAAAAGTTACAAGTCAGGAACACAGAATAATAAGGTGATAAAATGAGTAACCATTAAAAAAAAAAAAAAGGAATGAAGGACTTGTCACAGCATACAATTCAATATGCTGTTTACCTGGAGAACCTATAACAAACTGAGCTGGGGCTGGAAAGAGGGGAAGCAGGGAAGAGATTTATTAATTATTCAGTAGGACTAATGACACATTGTCCATCTTCATCAGTGCTCTCACATACTTCCCCAAATTTATAATTATATTCACTGGCCCAAATCAATGAATAAAGAATAGTTGATTCTTACTAAATAAGGTCTGACAGTGGAAGTGTTCAGAATATGAAAAGCAAGGGCTGGCCCGTGGCTCACTTGGGAGAGTGTGATGCTGATGACACCAAGGCCACAGGTTCGGATCCCTATATAGGGATGGCCGGTTAGCTCACTTCAGAGAAAGTGGTGTTGACAACACCAAGTCAAGGGTTAAGATCCCCTTACCGGTCATCTTTTAAAAAAGAATATGAAAACCAGCAGAATCAAAAAGCCTAAAAGATTTTTATCTCCAGAGCTATCTTTCCAAATGGCACAAATTGGACACAAACAGTAACTAATATGTCTTCAATCCAGTGAAAACATGATTGGTCTTATCAGGAAGAACCCAGGCAATGCTCACAAGGGCTCAGCAGCTTCTCCTCCTGCCAAGCCCCACCAAGAAACAGTTTAAGAGGGCAGAGGAGGAAGCTAGCTGTGGTACTTTTTTTTTTTTTTTTTTTGGCAGCTGGCCAGTACAGGGATCTTAACCTTGGCCTTGGTGTTATCAACACCATGCTCTAACTAGCTGAGCTAACTGGTCAGCCCAGGAATTTGGTTTTTGAACACTTTTTTTTTCCGTATGAAGACTGCATCACAAAATGTAATGGTAGGAAAAGGTTTTTTTTTTTTCCTTTTTGTCTTTTTTCGTGACCGGTAACGGGATCGCAACCCTCAGTGTCGCGCCCGCACCACGACCGGCAACGGGATCACAACCCTCGGTGTCACGCCCGCACCGCGCTCAACCAGTGAGCGGACCGGTCTCCATATGGGATCCGAACCCTCGGCGGGAGCGCTGCCACACTCCCAAGCGCCGCACTCCAGCAAGTGTGCCACCAGGCCGGCCCTAGGAAAAGGTTTTAGGGAAGCAGCTTCTTCCTTCCAGACCAGAGGGCCTTGTGACTGCTACATTTCACCAAATCAACTTGAACCTGATTGCTGCTGCCTGACACTTGTAAACCTTACATCATACTCATCAGCAATTCTCTGGCACTTTTTAGAGAAGTGCCAATAAACACTTCAAAGATTTAAAATAATTTAAGTAAATGATGACAGCTCATTTCTACCTATAATTGGTAATATGGATGGCTAACTGAAAATTTACATCTGCCTCCTAAATCATCATTTACAAAATCATCATGCAGTTAATCAATGATGTCTTGGTGAATAAGCAACTCAGTACAAAAATCAAATGAACTTGGGCCGGCCCAGTGGTGCACTGCTACAGTGCGCCGCTTGGGAGTGTGGCGGCGCTCCCGCTGAGGGTTTGGATCCCACATACAGACCGGCCGCTCACTGGCTGAGCGAGGTGCGGGCGCGGCACCGAGGGTTACGATCCCGTTGCCGGTCGCGAAAAAAGACAAAAAGGAAAAAAAAAAAAAAATCAAATGAACTTTGTAAACTGAATGCTGTGAGCTGAGCTTAAACTGCCAGAGCCTCTTATTAAAAAGCTCTCATTAAGTGTAACAAATACCAACCTGATTAATGTATGTGTATTTTTAAAGGATTATCTAGGTTTTTTTTCCTTTCTAGTACATTTCTATGCATTCATCTCATTGCTGGCAGATTAAACATGTGGCCATGTTTGCTAACTTTCTAGTTTCATCTTCCCTCTCTACCCGGTGTATGTTGACAACTGGGGCATGGCCAATTGTCACTCCCTAGTCTCTTTCCTCAAGACAATGAGTTCAATCAAAATTCAGATCTGTTCTAAAACCTTTTACAGAACCAGAAGTTTGGTCTTCAGAAATACTCACCATGAATGTCACCTTCTCCCTGAAAAAGAAAAAAATTTTAAAATTTACTTTCTATTTTAATTGTGAAACACAAATAAGTCACAGATCAGAGAGGCTAACATCTATTTGAAACCAAATGTGTAATTTCATTTTGATACAATCAAGTACAGAGTGATCATGTTGCAACCTTTTTTCAGCTTGGGACAATACAAAAATTCTGCACAATAAATTACCCCAGTGCCAGTCCCACACCGAAAACACCAGAAAAAACCTTAACATTTACTCTGATGACCTAATACCAATTAGCATTTCAGAGGAATTTTTATCAGAATGGGAAACTGGGAAATCTATCCTTCCACATCTCTTCCTTCTTTCTCCTTATCTAGCTGTTAAACTCCAAAGTCCTGTCTAGAGCTCTGCCCACACTCAGACAGTTGATGGCTCAATGAGCTTTAAGATCCTAGGCAGGAGGACTTCCTACCAGGCAAGGTCTTTTCAAACAACTTGAGGCTTGGTAGCAGGAACCATCTGCAGACACAACTGTTGGTAACAGCCAGTGCTAAAGCCTCCTAGAGTTCAACTCAAAACCAGCATCCACACACAACTAAAACAGTCCTTGAATTCATAAATGCTACTATATATGAGATGACATACTATGTATGTCATCCACAGGTTCCAAAAAGCAACACTGAATGATGTAACCCCAATGGTAAAAGACACACCCAAACAGATCAAGATCATGTTTAACTTTTCTGACTTTACTCTGCTTATCAATCTTCCATCACCGATATGGCCCAGCCCCTTTCCTAATTACCTCTACAGAAAATTCCTGTGGCAGCACTGAAACTCAGTTAAAAAAAAAAAAGGAGGAAGTTTATTTCTAAGTCATGTTGACCTTAAAGCCTTTCTTTCCTCATGTTGTCACACTGACCTTCAGATCTAAGAAGTCTCCAGAGTTTGCTTCAGAAGAGTTCCTTCTCTGCAGTCCAGACGACTCTGAATCTTCCCTGCCACCACTAGACTTGGCACCTAAAAGTCAAAATATACTTTCTTGAGGAATACAGTAGAGACCTAAAGCAAAACAGTTTTTAAGGAACTGACATTATGTGTTAGTCTCATATTACAAAATGAGGAAACAGTCCTAGAGAGGTTAAGTTGATGGCTTAAAAACTCTACATTGGGACTAAATAACCCAATCTGACTTCAGTCCTCATTCTGATCCATCACCTAGACTGTCAGTATTTCCCAGCACTTTCCTCTCATGTTCTGCTTGAACTATTGTCTGTTTTATTACCATTAAGTTAGATTTTGCTCATCAGGACAAAACTGGCTGTGGTTGCTTATGCTGAGAGTCCATCCCTTTGAACAGTGATCACAGACAAAAGCCGTACCTGCCGACTTGGCCCACGAAGGGGAATTTTCCTCAGGTGTCCCGAAGATGTTAGAGGCCATTTTATTCTTCCTCATGGGTTGTTCTGTTGGTTCATCAAAGCCTAATGAAAAATTGGATCCACCACCTGGAGGCCGCAAAACCCTAGAAATAATGGCAAAATGTCAGTTTCAGATCATAGCAAAACATTTCTTGGCATAAACATTTCCAAACACCTTTCATTTCAGTTCTCTTACTCAGTCATTTGCCCCACACCCCACAAAAGAGAGTTGTAAATGAGAAAAAGGGATCAAAATTCAATCATGACATAAATTCAAGGATGGATATTAAGATACCAAACACTGCTACATAATATTTGTCATCAGGTCATCCATCACACGAGGCAGCTGAAACAGCCTGAACGTCATCACAAGTAACAGCCTGGTTGCTGTCCCCTTTTTGGAAATGGCAAAAGGCTGAATGGACCTTGCCCTACTGGGCATAGCTGAATATATTTGCAAAGTTTATTTTTTTTTATTTTTTATTATTTTTTTAAGATGACCGGTAAGGGGATCTTAACCCTTGACTTGGTGTTGTCAGCACCACGCTCTCCCAGTGAGCGAACCGGCCATCCCTATATAGGGATCCGAACCCGGGGCCTTGGTGTTATCAGCACCACACTCTCCCGAGTGAGCCACGGGCCGGCCCTTATATTTGCAAAGTTTAGAAGCATGTCTTATTATTTATCCATTTATAAAGCACTTGCATTTTTATTTTCAACTAAATAAAAAATATATGTATAAGTTAACTTGACCAATTTAGAAGCCCAAAAGAGCTGATAATAAAAAGTCTCTTCCATCTCAACATCACCAATAAGCTCTGTTTATATACTTGTCCCTCACTATTCTAACTGATAAACGTGAGTGACAAGCCACAAGGGCAAAGTCAATATGAGAAAGGAAGTGTAAGATCCGTGACGTGTTTTATACCATGTTCCCTTGGACATCACCTATAGTTTTCTTGTTTGTTTGTTTGTTTTTTGATGGTTGGCAGAGGGATCGAACCCCAGACCTTGGTGTTATCATCACCATGCTCTAACTACCTGAGCCAACCAGCCAGCCCCTACTGATTTTTGTTCAACATAGAAATACAGTACTTTCAAATTTCTAAATCTTCCTGCCACAGGTTGACCAATTTGTCTCCTTCTGGAAACATTCAATTTAACTCCCCTTGCCACCTCTCAAAACAGAAAATCGAAAGGTTTTCATGAGAAGACTTCATAACTACTGATTCAATTCCTTTATTGATGATAGGAGTGTTTTGGTTTTCTATTTCTTCTTAAATCAGTTTGAATAAGAAACATTTTTCTAGGAATATGTCTTTTTTCCAAATTTCCAAATAAATACAATTGTCATTTGTAAATTCTGCTCATTATATTAGAAAAGAAAGGCTGAATTAAACACTTAAGGTATAAGTTCCCTTCTAAGTACCCTTTTAGAGGGATTCCCAAGTTTTGATATAAAACTTTACATCATTTCATTCTAAATATTTTCTCATTTCCATTTTCTTTGACCCTTAGGATATTTAGAAGTGCATTTTTATGTTGCCAAACATAGGGGTCTTTCTAGTTTATTGATTCCTAGCTTTAAATTAGAATGCAGACAACAGAGTCTATATAACATGAATCCTTTGAAATTTGATAAGATTTGCCTTATGGCCTAACATGTGGTCAATTTTGTAAATCTGTGTGCTTGCTTGAGAAGAATGTGTCTTTGCCAATGTTCTCTATGTGTCTACTAGATCAAGCTTACTGAGTTCTTCAAATCTGACTTTTTAATATGTTTTACCATTTGCTGAATCTGTTAACAACTTCTACAATGGTGGGTTTGTCAGTTTCTCCTCAGAATTTTGTCAAGATAAAAGAGTTCTTCCTCAAAAGGAGTGTTTTAGAACAGTAGGAAAAACTGCATTGAGTCAACTAGCCAGCCATTTTGACTAAACAAATAAAATATATATCCTTACCTCACTTCATTTACCAAAACAAATTCCGACTAAGTGAAATATTTCAACTTAGAGACTAAAACAAAACTAATGGAAAAAAACATGTATAAATATGGTTCTAGTCTTGAAGAAAAGGGCTTTTTAAGCACAAGATAAAAGCCAGAAACCATGAAAAGATGGACAGATTAAACTTGGCAAAAATATCTGACAAAAGATACCACTAGTATAGAAAATGCTCTTAAAAGTAATTTTAAAAAGAGAAAAATGAACAAAAGGTACTAATCGGCAATTTAAAAATATGGATAACCTCTAAACATTAAACATCCAACCTAAATATAAATAAGTAAATAAATAAATAAAAACCCAACCTCACTAACAAATAAGTGTAATTTAAAACAAAAGGATATATTGTTTGCTTATTAGATTGATAGATATGAAAGAATGTCAATTCCCAGCATTCAAGTATGAGACCGTAAGTTTGTATAAACTTTCTTTTTTGGGGTGGGTGGGGGCGGGTAGCTGGCTGGCGTGGGAGCCAAACCCTTGACCTTGGTATTATCAGTGCTACGCTTTACCCAAGCGAGCAACTGACCAGCCCGATTTGTACAAACTTTCTAGAGGATATTTTTTTTTTTCTTTTTTTAAAGATGACCGGTAAGGGGGTCTTAACCCTTGACTTGGTGTTGTCAGCACCACGCTCACCCAGTGAGCAAACCGGCCATCCCTATATGGGGTCCGAACGCGACCTTGGTGTTATCAGCACCGCACTCTCCCGAGTGAGCCACGAGCCAGCCCTTTCTAGAGGATTTTTTTTTTTTTCTTTTGTCTTTTTCCGTGTCCGGCAACGGATCGCAACCCTCAGTGTTGCCCCCGTACCGGACCGGGGACCGGCAACGGGATTGCAACCCTTGAGGCTGCTCCCGCGCCTCGCTCAGCCAGTGAGCGGGAACCGGTCTGTATGTGGGATCCGAACCCTCGGCCACGCTTCCCAAGCGGCGCACTTATCCAGTGCGCCACCGGGCCAGCCCCTCTAGAGGATATTTTGACAATATGTATTAAATGTTCAAGTTTGCATTTCATCTGAACCAGCTTTTCTACTTCCAGAAATTAATAAATAACCACACATATATACAAGGAAACTCCTTGTTAATCTGTAAAAAAATTGGAAACATCCTAATTGTCCATTAACAGGAGGTTGGTTATCAAAGCATGTCCATACAATAGAAAGCTATATACGGTAGGGTGAGATCTATTAGTGGATGTGAAAAGTTACCCAAAATAGTGAATGAAAAAAGCTGGAAAACAAATGAGCCCAATTACATGTAATATAAAATTATGTATATAGAATAATCATATACATTGTATATTGACAAAATAAAAATTTAAAAAAAAAAAATTATGTATATAGAGATACGCATAGCTATATGACCTCAGGTGAGTTGCTTAACCTCGCTATGCCTTGGTTTTCTCCTCTGTAAAATGAGAATAGTATCTGCCTCATAAGACTATTTTGACGATATCATATGTATTGTGCTTGTAACAGTACCTAGAACATGGTAATCATGCTATTAGCTATTATTGTAACCATAACTAGACATAAATATCACCACAATGTTATTTGGGGTTCCCTCTCATAGACAGGGAATGTTAATGTCTTTTTTGTACTTCATATTTTTCTGTATTGCTATTCATCCAAAATTCTTTTATTTATTTATTTTTGGGGGGTGACTGGCCAGTACTGGGATCTGAACCCGTGACCTTGGTGTTCTCTAACACCAAGGCTGCACTCTAACCAATTTAGCTAACTGGCCAGCCCTAAAATTCTTTTAAAGACTGCTTCTGGGTTCCAGAATTCCCTAACCATTTTTCTTTTGATTAGTATTACTTTTGCCCACTGTCCATTATAAATGAATGTGATCATTCATTTACCTGTGTCCACTCTGGCTCTCTAGACAAATCCCAGCTCCTCAGTTCCCTCGGGTATAGGCAGGAGCCCTGGCTCAGCACCCTCATGCTGCCCCTCACACGACTCACACACTGTCCCTTCCTGCCCTGTCCTGCATCCTTTTCTGCCAGACTGCAATGTCCCGAAGATGCAAGGTTTGGATAGGCAGGAACAGAGGGAATCTGACAAACTTTGCCTCCTATCAACACGGCCTCCTCTCAAACATAGCAAGAGGGGTGCTCACCACCTTTACCAGTCCAGTCGAGCCACTTTCTTCGCTGTTCCAAAAACAGCTCTGGTTCATCTCCACCTCAGAGTCTCCACTGGCTTACTTCCTCCTGCCTCGATGACTCTCCGTCCTTCCCTCAGTGCCTATTCAAACCCAGCCCATCTCTTAAACCTCCACCTCCTCCATGAAGCAGTTTAGTAGAGCGCGCAGTGTACCAGAGAGGAAAAGGATCCAGACGGTAAGTACTTCTGGCTTTGTGGATCACGTCTTTCTGAGCTAGTCACTGTCATGTTGCACAAAGGCAGCCACAGACAATAGGAAAATGAGTGTGGCTGTATTTGTGAGACTGAAATTGCATTTTCATATAATTTTCACAAGACATGATGAAATATTCTTCTACTTGCTATTTTCAACCATTTATAAATGTAAAAATCATTTGCAGTTCACAGGCCCTACAAAAATTAGTGCTGGCTGGGTTTGGCCTGCAGGTGGTAGTTTGCTGAGTTCTGCTCTGTGTGCTTCGACATCTTTAGGACAGCAAAGTCAGGCCCTGAGGAGCTTTAAATAAACTGCCCAACATTAGTTAATGACACAGATGGAACCAAAACAAAATCTTCAGTACCTGGCAGGCATATAACAAGTGCTAAAAGTGCTTAAATGGGAGAACCACACAATGCCATTTTTCTCTTGAAACTACAAACTACTTTGATAAAGGTTTTCTTGCTTCCTAACCTTGGAGTGTCTTATATTTCTTATATAGTCCCTCTATCTTCCTCCCCTGAATGTAATATAGTCATGCACTGCGAAACGACAGACTGCATATATGACAGTAGTCCCATGGTCCCATAAGAGTATAATGCAGGCGGAGGTGTGTAGTAGGCTATACCACGTAGGTCTGTGTAAGTACATTCTATGATGTTCACACAACAATGAAATCACCTAACATTTTTCAGAATGTATCCCTGTTGCTAAGCGACTTGTGACTGTGTTAGTCTGCCCACAGTAAAATGCAATACTCAATTCACACTAAATAAAAATTTCATTATCTCCCCAAAGACCCCACTGCATTCCTTTATAATATGTAAAACATTTAAAATGCCACTGTTTTGTTTAAATCACAATTAAAGATACATGACAAATTCTTTCTCTAATGTTAAAGTTTGAAGCAATTTTTATCATTTGTACACCAAACCAAGAAAAACCCTTGAAATATTATAATCAAAATTAACTTCTTTGTTATCCCCTTCATTCCCTAGGGATTAAAATGATTTTACTTACTAATCATAATTAAAACCTCATGAATTATTTTGGCCAGATAAAAAGCTTCATAACCCTACTGGGCTCAGAAATATTTTTGGCCTTGAAAAAAACACCCAAACACTGGCTTAAAAGCAAATCAAAGCTCTGACCAGTCCAACTTTTTAAAGGTCTGTGTTCCTCCTGCAATAGCAGGTATGACCTACTCCGATGACGTCAGTGTTGTGGAGACCATCTGTAATAGCGAGACAGCCCCAAACAAAGGATTTGGATCATAAGACAAAAAGTATTTCAATTTTGTTTTTTAAGATCATACTATTCTTTCCAAACCACGCACATGATATTTAAATCAGGATTACATATTTAACACTCAACAAAAATGTGTCCATTTACTGTAGATAGTAATTTTTTTAAAAAATTACTCCTTTTCTTTCATCTTTCTTTAAATTCCAGAGTTTCCATATGACCTTTGCAGATCGTTCCCTCCCAGACTAAATTTACAATGAGTTTATGGTGCCAAAAGAATGGAGAAAAGAAATTTAGGAGAATTAGGTGACATTATAGAGGAAGACGAGGTATGTAAATAAAATGACCAATGCTACATTCTCTAGATCACAATATTGGAGAGAAATGATGACAAAAGGTGAATCAAAACAGAATGGAGAAAAGAAATTTAGGAGAATTAGGTGACATTATAGAGGAAGACGAGGTATGTAAATAAAATGCTACATTCTCTAGATCACAATATTGGAGAGAAATGATGACAAAAGGTGAATCAAAACATTTATTTTGCAGAACCAAAAATCATTTATGTCTCACATTTCAAATATACATACGAAAAAACCTAGCATGAGGATTCATTTGACCTGGTGAAATGAAATTCTTCACAAAGCACTAAACTGAACTCAGCCCCCAAAAATAAAACCCCAGATTACATATTATCACTCCAACAGCTGAAGTCTGACCTGCACAGAGTTGACACAAAATGAAAAAACCAGGCTCAATTTGTTCCAGTATCCTCTGAAACAATTCTCATTGGAAGGATGACAATATTACAGGGAATGACCAGTATTTTCTTAGATCTATACTTCTCAAGTTCCCCAACCTTCCCAGTAACTACCAATTTAGTTCTCTCAATCGTAACTATTCTTTTCTACATTATAAAACTGAAGGAAATGTCATTTCCAATGCCTCTTCCTAAAGCTCATTTGCTGAGGCTTGCTTTGTGTTCCCAAGTTCTCTAACCCCTGTGAGATATTGCTATTTCATGTCTGTCTTCTTAGCCCCACAAAATGGCTCCCTTTGTGCCACTTGGCCAGGACCCCAAGGCTGGCCACACATGACTGCAGGTGGTGATCAATGGAGAAAAGACGCCCAGAAAAAGTGGAATCTAAGCTTCCTCCAAGCCTTGAGGAGGACCCCATAGATGCCTGTAACCCACCTTAAAGAACAGTGTGCAATTATCTGAGACAATGTGGACACCTTCCACAGAATCCAAACCCTTCCACCAAGTTAAGCAAGGGCTTGGAAAAGGCTCCCAGTCCAGATAACGTGCCCAGTGCCTTCTCCCCAAAATGCAGTGGGATGAGTAGCCAGAAAGGCGCAGGCTTCCCAGGTGGACATACTACGGAAGACAATAGATGTCTCCGGCCCCGCCCAAGGACAGGAAACCTCCTCCTGCAAGGGAACCAGGGTCAGGGATGAACTCATTTGGCAAAAGTCAAAGGGTGAAGCGAAGAAGGTGGGATGCAAAGACCGAGGTCCGAAGGTTTGAGCGCAGAAACCCCCTCGGGCTAGCTCGTCCCCCCTCCCGCTCGGAGAGGGTGCGGGGAGGAGGAGGAGAAGGGGCCTTCCTTTGTTAGGAGAGGGGAGGCACTTCGAAGAGGGGACGGGGCGGACCTCTGGGCTCTGAATACAGGTGCAGGGTCGCGATGACCAGCCCCGTCCGACCACAAATGCACCTGCCGGTAGGGCCCGAGCAGGGAGTGGGGGCACGACGAGGGCAGGAGCCCGCCGAAGCCGATCGATCGGGTGGCAGGATCTGCTCGCTGCGCCCGAGCGCGGGGCCAGCCACATGCCCCGGGCCAGAGGCAGGAACGCGTGGCCCGGGGGTGGGACAATGGGGCCTGACCGAGGCGCCCTGGACGCATCCTTGCTGGGACCTGGGGCGCCAAGACCACCGTCCCGGGGTTGGGCCAGCCTCGCCGCAGAGCGGGGAAAGCCATCCCTCCCTGCACGTTGAGCTGAATGAAAACCCGCCGTGCTGCGAGGGGCGGCCAGCCCCGGCGCCCCCA